CAATATGGCCAGTCGTGGGGATGGCCGTCTCTGTGGTAAACGGAAACCGCGACCATCTTTGTGTTTGCACTGAAGTTTGTGAAGAAGCCTTCAATTTCCTTGAAATCGGAGGAGCTAGTTGATGGTGTGCAAGCTCGCCTCTTGTACTTTCCTGCTTTTAAGGCGAAATAAATGCCACTCATTCCAATTGTCTTGAACATTGTCGTTAGAAATTGAAGGAGAAGGGAAAGAAGATGGTCTCTGAGAGGGCAAGTAGCAGTGTATCGGAGGACCTACACACCGAGATCAAATTACGCGTCTGCACGTTTTGATAGTGGGTTTTTGCTATCGCTTGTGGTTGGTAAGCAGAGATGGCAGATTCGTAAAGACTGGATGGATGTTAGCAAGACTACTTTTATGTGTCAGAGGCACTATCTAGATCGTAAGCGGTGCTGAAGTTTAACTGGACATAACTATCCAATAGAATTAAAGGAGCTTTTACGGCATGGCTTAGAAGGGCTGGAGTGATTGATGCAATAGAACTGGTAACCAAAGGCTCTTCCTGTATCCACAGTGGAACAAAGGCCTGTGATACTCCTGTGGAAATTACTGAAGGTGTGGTAAACACGTATTCGATCTTTTCACTGAGTTTGGTAATTCGAGTAAAATAGGCGTTTACCACCTCCGTCACAGTCTTCATTCCGTTTAAACAAGCAACCTAATTATGTGCAAGCTTCTATTAATTTTTCACGCAGCTCCTCATACAAGACATCTTTGAGTACGTTGTGCCTCGGTGACACCTTGTTCCCGTCCTTCGTGGTAAAATAAATTTAGTCCTCATATCTCTCCTCGCTCTCCGCCTTTCCAATCGTCCACAGCTACACTTTTCCTCTCTACATCTCCTTGGCTCTCTCTCACTCACCCCGCTTCCATTCATGATTGATGCAGCTTTTTCTCTTCAACCTCTCCACCTTCCTCTCTACCATCTCTGCCCATATATCTCTAGCTAGCCATAAACTTACATAAGTGATTGAACCCCTCTATTTTCGAAGACCGTGTCCCTTGTACCTCAGATATTAACGTTTATGATTCACTGCCATTCCTACTTCTAGTTCCTCACTCTTCACTGTTACATACAGCTAACTCCTCATTCCTCGTTTCATGGACTCAGAACGCAGCTGCAGACTAGATGTCGCAGTAATTCATGCACTCCACCAAGGGTACGGCTTCCCTACTACAATCACTGGAAGCGAAGGAAGAGATGAAGCGAGGTCGATTGAAAAAGGCGAAATTGGACGTCTTTCCCTTTAAATTTATTGGAAAGGGTACCTAGCGAGTGACAGAAAAGTGCAGATTCTGCTTCCACTTTTACCTGCGCCTCGGTAAATTAACGCGATTGTGCTTCTGCTGCTTGCTTGTCAGATATACAAATCAGATTAAAATTAATAACTGACCTAATAAGAAGTGCAAAGGAGGAAATGACGGGGACACAGGGACGTAACTGATGTATGTGCATAGATATTTAAGCAGTGTGACATGTCCCTCCTCCCTCAGAGACGCCTCATCATACTTTTCGATGGGTCGTGCATGTCACCCTACTCCTTCCATGGCAAATCTTTGTTCTTTGCTTTCTTCCTCACATTTTCCACAATTTCGACTTCCATTTTATCCCCTTTTTCCTATGTTCGCCTTCTTCTTTCCCTCTACCACCATCTTTGCCTTCGTCCCCATTGTTCGTATTGCTAATGCCTATCTGATATAGGCGACTAGCACCCTGCCTGTATGAATGAGTGCCCATAACCAGACAATGATAAATTAAACTTATAATAACAAAGGATTATATACAGAATCTAAGAGATATTCAAAAATTTTGGTTTTGAAGGAAGGAAAGAAAAAGAGGGAGAAAGAAGAAAGGAGAGGCAGAAAAGCCTTTTTATTTAGGATAATTTTGTCTCCCCGTCTGCCTATGAACAGGGTATCTCTAGAAATCGAATGCTTCCTGGGACTCAGAGCATCTTTTTTACAAAATAGCATGACCTGTTAGGCGATCACCGGTTATTGATATTGCCCAGATGCCATCAAATTATCAAATCCGGTGAAAAGGTCTGGAACTACCTTTACGCGTTGTCAAGGATTTGCAAAACCTTGAGGTTATGATAATCTTTTATGCTTGGTA